ACTTGCCATAATTGATGGAACCATGAATTCTGCACTCTATCAGAAAATCCTGAAGGAGAATGTCCGGCCATCAGTTTGTGACCTCAAGCTCAAGCGCACTTGGGTTATGTAGCAGGACAATGATCCCAAACACACCAGCAAGTCCACTTCTGAATGGCTCAAGAAAAACTAAATTAAGGTTTTGGAGTGGCCAAATCAAAGTCCGGACTTAAATCCGATTGAGATGCTTAAACAGTCCATTCATGCTCGAAAACCCTCCAATGTGGCTGAATTAAAACAATTCAGCAAAGAAGAGTGGGCCAAAATTCATCCACAGCGATGTGAAAGACTCATTGCCAGTTATCGCAAACACTTGATTGCAGTTGTTGCTGCAAAGCGTGGCACAACCAGTTATTAGATTTAGGGGGCAATTACTTTTTCACATAGGGCCACGTAGGTTTGGACAGCTGTTTTCCCTTAATAAAATAAATCATCATTTAAAAACTGCATTTTGTATTTACTTGCATTATCTTTGTGTAATATTCAAATTAGTTTGATGATCTGAATCTTTTAAGTGTGACAAATATGCAAAAAATTAAAAAAACAGGAAGGGGGCAAAAACCTTTTCACACCACTGTATATACATATGCATATATATATATATATATATATGGATCACTGTCCATATATAATAATTCCATATATACTGTTATAATAATAATAATTCTACATTTTTGTTTCCAAATGGTTATTTATGTCATATATAAATGACAGTGGGCCCATCATGAAATAAATACTTAGATCAAAACATATTTAATCAAGGCTCAACTGTACTGAAATCATTGATTATTGATGTAATTATAGATGTTTTGCTCTTCTGTAGAAATGAAACAAAGAGCTCAGTATTGTTGTCCACATTTTCTTTTTAAATGACTGTTCATATTTTTGAATTGTGGACAAACCCAATAAATGAAATGATTTGAAACTCGATTTAAATCAGTGGAATCATAACAATGTAACATAACAGTGTAACACATAACAGTGTAACGATCAGCGTGACTGTCCGTCATGTTGCCGTGGTTACCTGACTGCACACTCCCCAGTCGTCTCTGCAGGGCCTCCAGACGGGAGATGTAGTCGGTGAGAGCGCGGTCGGGGTCGTAGTTCTGCAGGTGTGAACACGGCAAACCTCTGGCATCACCAGCCATCGTGTGAAACCTACAGACAAACATCAGCACGCACTTTAAAACACAGCCGCCTGTCCAGATCTGTGTGCCATCTTACAGCGATCCGGTTACTGATGAACATGATGCAGGACGACTGACAGTGACTCATTCATAAAGAGAATCACTAGTTTCATTTCTGAATGAATCAGCTGTTTGAATCACTAGGGTGAGTCAATGATTCAGTGATTCATTCATAAAGACTAGTTTTATTTCTGAATGAATCAGCTGTTTGAATCACTAGGGTGAGTCAATGATTCAGTGACTCATTCATAAAGACTAGTTTTATTTCTGAATGAATCAGCTGTTTGAATCTGCTTTATTTTGTGAAACCTTACTACGTATATGGAATAACTGTTTTATAAACACAATAATCCCCGTGAAGCCGTGGTTTACACTGAATTTATAACAGCTATAAATCCGCTTTGCGTCGAACCTAACAATGCCCCTTTAGCTGTTATTCTTGGGACTTATTGCTTTAATAAACACTATTACAATTAACCAACATGTGAACTGTGAACATGTGCAATGTATTTTCAAATTATTGAAATACTCTCATCTAACATACTTCAATGACGTAGCACGTCTGTCAGTAATCATGTAAATTTGTTTCTGGTGTTTCTGAAGGACGCAGTGGCGCGTCTGTACCTGGAGAGGGCGATGGAGACACGCACGGCCGATCTGAAGCGCGTGAAGCCCCTGCGCTGACCCCCCACAGACCCCAGACAGGTGTGTGCAGGGAAGCCACCCATCCGGGCGATCAGAGACAGCGTGGCCTCCTCACACTCCTGAAATCCTCCCAGCAGCAGCAGAAGATACTTCTTCTGATAGATCAGAGCCTTCCGGAAGCTCTCGGCGCGCAGGTATTTCCCATACATCCTCTGTAGAGACAGACGGGTGGTGAGTACGTGAAGCTGTAAACGCTGAGTTGTGTTGCTGTGAACACTCACCCTGAGGGCCGTGTTGTCCAGATCAGCTCCAGTCAGATCCCGTAGCGTATCGGAGCGAATCTCTCCTCTCAGACGGATCAGTTCTGCCTCGGCCTGACGGAGAGACTTCTCCAAACGATTCCTCTCCTGAGCCCAAGACTCTCGCTCGCTAGAGAATAACACCAGCTCCTGACGCTCCACCGCAGCCCGGCTCGACGCCTGAGAGAGAGAGAGAGAGCAACTCTGTTTAATCACGAACAACTTCACTTCATAGATGCTGTCTCTACACTGTCTGAATGTCCACTTAACATTATTTCCCACAAAACCCACAGAGAAAGAGAGAGACACGGAAATAAAAACAAAAAAGAAACAGAAAGGAAGAAAGAAAGATAGACAGAAACAGAGAAAAAAAGAAAGACAAAAGAACTATGACTAAAGCTACATTCTCAACCACTGTGTTCATTAATTGATTCACCGATTCATTGGTTCATTCACTTGTGCTCTCTGTGATGTTTTCTGTCTGTAATTGATTCACTGATTCATTTATTCGTTAACTCACTCATGCTGTCTGCAATGGCTTTCTTTCTTTTGTCTATAACTGATTCACTGATTCGATTCATTGATTCTTTCATGCTCTCAGCAGTGGTTTTCTTCTGTCTGTAACTGACTCACTGATTCATTCACTGATTCACTCACGCTCTCTGTGGTGGTTTTCTTCTGTCTGTAACTGACTCACTGATTCATTCACTGATTCACTCACGCTCTCGGCGGTGGTTTTCTTCTGTCTGTATCGGACTAACTGATTCATTAATTGATTCACTCACGCGCTCTGCGGTGGTTTTCTTATCTCTGTAACTGACTCACTGATTCATTCACTGATTCACTCACGCTCTCTGTGGTGGTTTTCTTCTGTCTGTATCGGACTAACTGATTCATTAATTGATTCACTCACGCGCTCTGCGGTGGTTTTCTTATCTCTGTAACTGACTCACTGATTCATTCACTGATTCACTCACGCTCTCTGTGGTGGTTTTCTTCTGTCTGTATCGGACTAACTGATTCATTAATTGATTCACTCACGCGCTCTGCGGTGGTTTTCTTATCTCTGTAACTGACTCACTGATTCATTCACTGATTCACTCACGCTCTCTGTGGTGGTTTTCTTCTGTCTGTATCGGACTAACTGATTCATTAATTGATTCACTCACGCGCTCTGCGGTGGTTTTCTTATCTCTGTAACTGACTCACTGATTCATTCACTGATTCACTCACGCTCTCTGTGGTGGTTTTCTTCTGTCTGTATCGGACTAACTGATTCATTAATTGATTCACTCACGCGCTCTGCGGTGGTTTTCTTATCTCTGTAACTGACTCACTGATTCATTCACTGATTCACTCACGCTCTCTGTGGTGGTTTTCTTCTGTCTGTATCGGACTAACTGATTCATTAATTGATTCACTCACGCGCTCTGCGGTGGTTTTCTTATCTCTGTAACTGACTCACTGATTCATTCACTGATTCACTCACGCTCTCGGCGGTGGTTTTCTTCTGTCTGTAACTGACTCACTGATTCATTCACTGATTCACTCACGCTCTCGGCGGTGGTTTTCTTCTGTCTGTATCGGACTAACTGATTCATTAATTGATTCACTCACGCGCTCTGCGGTGGTTTTCTTATCTCTGTAACTGACTCACTGATTCATTCACTGATTCACTCACGCTCTCGGCGGTGGTTTTCTTCTGTCTGTATCGGACTAACTGATTCATTAATTGATTCACTCACGCGCTCTGCGGTGGTTTTCTTATCTCTGTAACTGACTCACTGATTCATTCACTGATTCACTCACACTCTCTGCGGTGGTTTTCTTCTGTCTGTACCTGACTCACTGATTCATTCACTGATTCACTCACGCTCTCTGCGGTGGTTTTCTTCTGTCTGTATCTGACTCACTGATTCATTCACTGATTCACTCACACTCTCTGCGGTGGTTTTCTTCTGTCTGTATCTGAGTCACTGATTCATTCACTGATTCACTCACGCTCTCTGCGGTGGTTTTCTTCTGTCTGTATCTGACTCACTGATTCATTCACTGATTCACTCACACTCTCTGCGGTGGTTTTCTTCTGTCTGTATCTGAGTCACTGATTCATTCACTGATTCACTCACGCTCTCTGCGGTGGTTTTCTTCTGTCTGTATCTGACTCACTGATTCATTCACTGATTCACTCACGCTCTCTGCTGTGGTTTTCTTCTGTCTGTATCTGAGTCACTGATTCATTCACTGATTCACTCACGCTCTCGGCGGTGGTTTTCTTCTGTCTGTATCGGACTAACTGATTCATTAATTGATTCACTCACGCGCTCTGCGGTGGTTTTCTTCTGTCTGTAACTGACTCACTGATTCATTCACTGATTCACTCACGCTCTCTGTGGTGGTTTTCTTCTGTCTGTATCGGACTAACTGATTCATTAATTGATTCACTCACGCGCTCTGCGGTGGTTTTCTTATCTCTGTAACTGACTCACTGATTCATTCACTGATTCACTCACGCTCTCTGCGGTGGTTTTCTTCTGTCTGTATCTGACTAACTCCTCCTCCAGCTTCAGTAACTGGTTTCGCAGGTCGTTCTTCTCTTCCGTCAGTCGGCTGACGAATCCCGTGAGCTCTGCGTTCTGCCTGAGCAAACGCTCGTTCAGCAGACTGGATGATCCTCCTGCCAACAGAGCGGCGCTCTACACACACACACACACATTTATATAATCAAGCATGTATTTATAAAGGTCCATTACATGAATAAGCCACATTCTGTGTCAATGTGATCACTCACCTCCGGGAGAGCAGAGGGGGCTGATGGGATATTCTGTAACAGTGACATCACATCCTGTATATTACTGTACAGCCATGCTAGACTGTCCCGGTCCGGCGCTTCCCCAGATAACCTGCACACACACACACACACACACACCGCTCACATGTTGCAACACCTGCACAACTTACTTTTTTCTTCAGTAAAACCATAAAGAAGAAAAGAAGATGAAACCTGTATCGTCAGGAGTCACGGGTATTGATTTTGTGTTGCCTGATGCTTTTTTTTTGACTCTCAAAGTGTCGGTAGCCGTTGACTCGCATTCTATGAATCACCAACGACCACGGTCTGAGCTAAAAATCGTTACTGTTCTACTGAAGAAGAAAAAAAGCCACCTACATCTCGGATGGACTGAGGGTGAGTGAATTAACAGCAAGTTGTGTTTTTTTTAGGTTTTTGGGGGAACTCTCTCTTGTCATACCTGCCCGGGGTTTCGCTGATCAGGCTGTTGATCTTGGCGGCGATGAGCTGCAGTCTGCTGAGGATGATGTTGTCCAGGTGTTTTGGGTCTGAACTCTCACGCACGGACGTTGTGTTGGACTCCAGCATCAGAGCGTCTCCCGTCTGCAACACCCAGTCACGGGTTCGATCCTGCGGCCGGACGTCCGATCTCACGCTCTTGTTCTCCAGCGCTCTCAGTCTGTCCTCCAGCTGTCTCACGGTCTCCTGCAGTCTGTCTCTCTCTCTCTCCAGCCTCCTCACGCTGTCTCTCTCAGCATCCAACTCCGCCTGCAGCTCGGACGCCCGTCTCTCCAGGCTGCTCAGGCTGTCGCGTGCCGCCTGCAATGCATTCTGGTCCTGCGCGAGGGCAGATTTATCCTCGTCCCACTGTCGTTTGCACTGCACCGTCTCCAGCTTCTGTCTCTCCAGTTCCTCCATCATCTGCACCACCTGCGTCTGCTTCTCGGCCAGCTGCGTCTGCAGCGTCTGCAGGAGAGACTCCACAGAGAGAACCCCGGCCTCCACCTAAACACAGCAACATTATTTAATATTAATGGCAATTTTATAATTAAAATGATTAATTTTTACTAAATTATATAATTTCACTAAAAACATTTATATTTCATTTTAAATATTTGATATATTATTTATTATTTAAGCATTTTTTTTGCTTAAAATGTGTAGGCAAGTCAAGTTTATTAATAAAGCACATTTTATACACAATGGTAATTCAAAGTGCTTTACATAAAAAGGATTTTAAAATCAAAAGAAAAAAAAATTCAAATCAAAAGTAAAAAAAAAAGAAAGAATAAAAATGGATTTAGATATAAATTTAGAATGCATGAAAACATAAAGTGTAATAATCTGAATGTTAAAGCTGCAAATGTGTTTTTTGTTTTTGGAAAGGTGAACATAAAATGTCCCAGACAAATATGAAAACGTTTATGAAAAAACACCACAACAATTATTTAAATTTTAAATATTATTTATATAAATATAAATCAAATATATGTACCCTATTATAATATAGGGTGAGGTATAATGCGTATTATAATACATAATTATGATATCATAATATATATTACAATATACAGTAGTCAACATCTGAAGTGGATCAAAACCTTTCATCAAAGTTGTCCTAAAATCAAAACAATACCCGTTCTTGTCTTAGGACAACTTTGATGAACCTTTTTGATCCACTTCAAATGTTGACTACTGTATACTGTATATAATCTTATATATTATACAAATAATATTATAAATGTAAATTTTTTATTAAATACATATGTATATAATAAACTGCTTTTTAAAATATTGTGCAGGTCAGGCATAAATTTATCCGTCAGGATTTCACAGAACTGGCCATGATATTACTGCGGTGGTTTTCTTCTGTCTGTATCTGACTAACTGATTCATTCACTGATTCACTCACGCTCTCTGTGGTGGTTTTCTTCTGTCTGTAACTGACTCACTGATTCATTCACTGATTCACTCACGCTCTCGGCGGTGGTTTTCTTCTGTCTGTATCGGACTAACTGATTCATTAATTGATTCACTCACGCGCTCTGCGGTGGTTTTCTTATCTCTGTAACTGACTCACTGATTCATTCACTGATTCACTCACGCTCTCGGCGGTGGTTTTCTTCTGTCTGTATCTGCGCAGCTCCTCCTCCAGCTTCAGTAACTGGTTTCGCAGGTCGTTCTTCTCTTCCGTCAGTCGGCTGACGAATCCCGTGAGCTCTGCGTTCTGCCTGAGCAAACGCTCGTTCAGCAGACTGGATGATCCTCCTGCCAACAGAGCGGCGCTCTACACACACACACACACATTTATATAATCAAGCATGTATTTATAAAGGTCCATTACATGAATAAGCCACATTCTGTGTCAATGTGATCACTCACCTCCGGGAGAGCAGAGGGGGCTGATGGGATATTCTGTAACAGTGACATCACATCCTGTATATTACTGTACAGCCATGCTAGACTGTCCCGGTCCGGCGCTTCCCCAGATAACCTGCACACACACACACACACACACACCGCTCACATGTTGCAACACCTGCACAACTTACTTTTTTCTTCAGTAAAACCATAAAGAAGATTTTTTGCTGAAACCTGTATCGTCAGGAGTCACGGGTATTGATTTTGTGTTGCCTGATGCTTTTTTTTTGACTCTCAAAGTGTCGGTAGCCGTTGACTCGCATTCTATGAATCACCAACGACCACGGTCTGAGCTAAAAATCGTTACTGTTCTACTGAAGAAGAAAAAAAGCCACCTACATCTCGGATGGACTGAGGGTGAGTGAATTAACAGCAAGTTGTGTTTTTTTTAGGTTTTTGGGGGAACTCTCTCTTGTCATACCTGCCCGGGGTTTCGCTGATCAGGCTGTTGATCTTGGCGGCGATGAGCTGCAGTCTGCTGAGGATGATGTTGTCCAGGTGTTTTGGGTCTGAACTCTCACGCACGGACGTTGTGTTGGACTCCAGCATCAGAGCGTCTCCCGTCTGCAACACCCAGTCACGGGTTCGATCCTGCGGCCGGACGTCCGATCTCACGCTCTTGTTCTCCAGCGCTCTCAGTCTGTCCTCCAGCTGTCTCACGGTCTCCTGCAGTCTGTCTCTCTCTCTCTCCAGCCTCCTCACGCTGTCTCTCTCAGCATCCAACTCCGCCTGCAGCTCGGACGCCCGTCTCTCCAGGCTGCTCAGGCTGTCGCGTGCCGCCTGCAATGCATTCTGGTCCTGCGCGAGGGCAGATTTATCCTCGTCCCACTGTCGTTTGCACTGCACCGTCTCCAGCTTCTGTCTCTCCAGTTCCTCCATCATCTGCACCACCTGCGTCTGCTTCTCGGCCAGCTGCGTCTGCAGCGTCTGCAGGAGAGACTCCACAGAGAGAACCCCGGCCTCCACCTAAACACAGCAACATTATTTAATATTAATGGCAATTTTATAATTAAAATGATTAATTTTTACTAAATTCTATAATTTCACTAAAAACATTTATATTTCATTTTAAATATTTGATATATTATTTATTATTTAAGCATTTTTTTTGCTTAAAATGTGTAGGCAAGTCAAGTTTATTAATAAAGCACATTTTATACACAATGGTAATTCAAAGTGCTTTACATAAAAAGGATTTTAAAATCAAAAGAAAAAAAAATTCAAATCAAAAGTAAAAAAAAAAGAAAGAATAAAAATGGATTTAGATATAAATTTAGAATGCATGAAAACATAAAGTGTAATAATCTGAATGTTAAAGCTGCAAATGTGTTTTTTGTTTTTGGAAAGGTGAACATAAAATGTCCCAGACAAATATGAAAACGTTTATGAAAAAACACCACAACAATTATTTAAATTTAAAATATTATTTATATAAATATAAATCAAATATATGTACCCTATTATAATATAGGGTGAGGTATAATGCGTATTATAATACATAATTATGATATCATAATATATATTACAATATACAGTAGTCAACATCTGAAGTGGATCAAAACCTTTCATCAAAGTTGTCCTAAAATCAAAACAATACCCGTTCTTGTCTTAGGACAACTTTGATGAACCTTTTTGATCCACTTCAAATGTTGACTACTGTATACTGTATATAATCTTATATATTATACAAATAATATTATAAATGTAAATTTTTTATTAAATACATATGTATATAATAAACTGCTTTTTAAAATATTGTGCAGGTCAGGCATAAATTTATCCGTCAGGATTTCACAGAACTGGTTATGATATTATAATATTATTTTTCATAATAATTTTTATAATAATTTTTAATTTTATTTTTCACTTGGCCTTGGTTACAAGAGGTTAAAAATGTTTCAAAGGTGGAGAAAATGATTGCATTTCTATGTAAATTTTTAAGACAAAAAATATTGTAATTTTAACATGCACTGATGAAGTAGGGAGTTTTATTGAGCGAGTGAACAGGTGTGATTCTGGTCACCTGGCTGCAGGTGGCCTCTGTCTGCATGAGAGTGTTTTGTGTGTCAGACTCCTGCGGGTTTGACGTGGAGCTCGTCTGGAAGCGCCGCAGCAGCTGTGCGTTCAGCTCCTTCTGTTTCTCCAGAGCACTGCTGAGCTCCGCCGATCGAGCTCTCTGAGCGTCTAACTGAACCTGTACACACACACACACACACACACACACACACAGACACGCACACACACACACGCACATGCAAACACACACACAGACAGACACAGACACACACACACACACACGCAAACACACACGCCCACGCAAACACACACGCCCATGCAAACACACACGCGCACGCACAAACATACACGCACACGCAACATACACGCACACGCAAACACACGCACACGCGCACACACGTGCACACGCAAACGCGTGCACATGCAAACACACGCTCACGTGCACACGCAAACGCACACAAACACACACACACACACACAGGGCTCAATCTCCTGCTCGGACAAAGTGAAACACACTCAAGAGCGTTAGATGACACGCACCTGCAGCTCTGCGGAGACGCTGGCCTCCCGCGCCTGTTCCTCCAGAGCCAGTTTAAGCTCCTGCAGAGACGCATAATGACGCACATAATCGAACACTTGATGTAAAACACTCATTACATGTTACTTCAGTGACGGTTTTTACCTCCACTTCCTCTCTCTCGGTCTCCTCCTTCCTGTCAGACTTGCGTTTCTCCTTCTCGAAGGCCCACTGCAGCTCTCTGGCTCTCTTCTGCTCGAGTGCCAGTCTGTCGTTCAATGCATCGACTTCAGCGGCCTTCAGTGAGACCTCGGCCCTGCACAGCACACACAGCAGCTTTATTCACTCCTCTATGTGTCTTTGGAGCCCCTACAGTTAAGCGAGTGGTAATTATATCACTGTCATAATTATAGTAAATAGCTGTGTGTGCGCATTTGAAACAGAAGTCAGTGTACCATCAGAATGACTCTGAAACTTATATTACGGTACAAAACTTTCATACAGTTGCTTTAAATCGCCTCCAACTCTACTAGCAAGACTAGCTAATTAAATCTGCACAAAAAGTCGAATAATCAGACACGCACACACACACACGCACATGCAAACACACACACAGACAGACACAGACACACACACACACACACGCAAACACACACGCCCACGCAAACACACACGCCCATGCAAACACACACGCGCACGCACAAACATACACGCACACGCAACATACACGCACACGCAAACACACGCACACGCGCACACACGTGCACACGCAAACGCGTGCACATGCAAACACACGCTCACGTGCACACGCAAACGCACACAAACACACACACACACACACAGGGCTCAATCTCCTGCTCGGACAAAGTGAAACACACTCAAGAGCGTTAGATGACACGCACCTGCAGCTCTGCGGAGACGCTGGCCTCCCGCGCCTGTTCCTCCAGAGCCAGTTTAAGCTCCTGCAGAGACGCATAATGACGCACATAATCGAACACTTGATGTAAAACACTCATTACATGTTACTTCAGTGACGGTTTTTACCTCCACTTCCTCTCTCTCGGTCTCCTCCTTCCTGTCAGACTTGCGTTTCTCCTTCTCGAAGGCCCACTGCAGCTCTCTGGCTCTCTTCTGCTCGAGTGCCAGTCTGTCGTTCAATGCATCGACTTCAGCGGCCTTCAGTGAGACCTCGGCCCTGCACAGCACACACAGCAGCTTTATTCACTCCTCTATGTGTCTTTGGAGCCCCTACAGTTAAGCGAGTGGTAATTATATCACTGTCATAATTATAGTAAATAGCTGTGTGTGCGCATTTGAAACAGAAGTCAGTGTACCATCAGAATGACTCTGAAACTTATATTACGGTACAAAACTTTCATACAGTTGCTTTAAATCGCCTCCAACTCTACTAGCAAGACTAGCTAATTAAATCTGCACAAAAAGTCGAATAATCTGAATATTAAAGCAAATGCAAATTGCTTTTCGAACATAAAATGTCAGATATCAAAAACACTTACCTCATGAACATACAAAAACATTTTTATGAAAATATACAGATTTATTTCTATTTATACATATTTATAATGTATAATATTAGAAATACTATATGATGTATATGTAATAAATATATGTTACAAATATAAATTACATTGTGCAATAATAAATGTAATATATAACAATATATTATTATTATTATATTAAATATTTATATTATTTTACTCACACATTGCAATGATGATACAAATATACAAAAACATTTTTATGCAAATTAAAAATTAAAGACAATTATTTATATAATTTGTATATTGTATTATATATATTGTCATATGTATTACATATTTTAGTTATATATAATTGTTAATTATATTATTTATATATAACTTTACTCATTTATATAAATATATTTTACAAACTACTACAACTGATTATGTGTGCATATATAATTTACATATATTATTACTGACTATATTATTCACAATATATGTGTACAGTGTTAAGTCGCTGGGGGATATTTGTAGCAATAGCCAACAATACATTGTATGGGTCACAATTATACATTTCTCTTTTATGCCAAAAATCATTAGGATATTAAGTAAAGATCATGTTCCATGAAGATATTTTGTAAATGTCCTACCGTAAATATATCAAAACTTAATGTTTGATTAGTAATATGCATTGCTAAGAACTTCATTTGAACAACTTTAAAGATGATTTTCTCAATATTTAGATTTTTTTGCACCCTCAGATTCCAGATTTTCAAATAGTTGTATCTCAGCCAAATATTGTCCGATCCTAACAAACCATACATCAATGGAAAGATTATTTATTCAGCTTTCAGATGATGCATACACCTCAATTTCACAAAATTGACCCTTATGACTGGTTTTGTGCTCCAGGGTCACAT